CTTTAAGTGACAAAGATGCCTGTGGTAATTACATAATCCGGTGTCAACTTGAGACTATTAAGAGTGAAGGGGTGGAGTCTAGACTATCAGGTCGCAGCTTAATGACCTCATTTGGAGGTGCTAAGGAGATAAATAGCTCACTGGAGGCCAGACCCACACTCTGTTTATTTTCCTCCTGATAAGCCACATGGAGCTACGCTGATGGAGTCAGAGCCCTAGAGCTTGAGGAGCCATATGGGAGATCCCTGCCAGTACTGAGATGCTTCCACTGCCACTGGGTCCACTAGACTTCCCACCCACTGGCCTGTCATCTTCCTGCGTTCAGCATCATTGCATGTGTTGTGTAAGTCCGAAGAGAAATTTATAGCTTGGTATCAGACATATGGGCTAATATCCGACTATGGACTTGATCTGGACTGGGCTGTTTTCTTAACGTACAATTAATTACTCTTTATATAAAGCTCTTTCTTATACACATGAGTGTTTCCCTGCATTTGTTTCTCTAGTCTAGCCACACTAACACAATGCCTCAGATAGCATCCCATACATTGGTTATTTATCTTCAATAGAACAAATCCATCCTTTACTCAAATATAAATCTACTGATAATTTACACATGTACTAGAGTTTGAATTCTGAGCGCCTCATAGACAGAAGGCTTTGGATAACAGTGAAAGGCCAAATTTCATTTGCAGAGTCCACAGGTGGATAAAGCCTCCAGTGAATTCCTTCCGATCATTGACCAAAGATGTGGCAGAGTACACTGGAAATCGGATGACCTCCACCAGGAATGGGCAGTCTCTCCTGGAGGCTTGCCTGGGTGTATCCTTGACGGAGGCCACCATACTGGGGGGGGGAGGTGTCCCATGCTCATGCACTATCAGTTGGTCAGAAGGCCCTCGGCCAATCTTGCATGCTCTTCTGAAAATATGTGTGTCCTAATCATGGTCCTTGCCTCGGTAATCCCACAGATGTAATGAGCTGTTACCACTCATGAATTTGTGACAGTTTTGTTTGAGCCACGCTTTATTTAACCAGCAATCTCAAATGTGAATTCTCCAACAGCATTCTGAACCCATGCTAATGGTCTCCATCTACATGATGTCTGTGTTCTCTCTCTTTTAAGACGAAATGATTTGAATTACAAATTATATTTCTACCCTAGAACACA